TACAAATCAAAAGTTGACTGCTCATCCTGAGTGCACTATTCTTCTCAAATGGGGGTGTTTGGATCCTTTGGAAGCAATACTGCTATAGTGGATGATGCTGAGAATCCTACAAAAACTGTGAAGCCAGGACTTTCCAAACCTTGGGGTGCCTCTTGTGAAGTCACTGAGCATAAACAACCCAAAGCCAAATAAGTCACAACATGTCACAACTCGAAATATATAAGTCAGTCCCAAGCATGATCCAAACCCCAACCGAACATCTCCTTTTCGCGTTTCAACATGCGCCATGCGCTGTGCCAACCCTCCACTCTCCACTCCCCAGTGCCAACCGAGGTAGACCGAGGTAGACCGAGGTACTGAGACAGCGGTAAGGGTCGCCTGGTCTCCTCCGTGGTCTGCCGCGAAGGTCGCTCCTCCGTGGTCTGTCGGCTAAAGGTCCGCAGCTCGTCACTCGCATCTGCTGGAGTCTGCGTCGTCTGCCGGCTGAAGGACTCACCTGGGGGCTGATGGATTGATGGGGATGGTTGAGCTGAAGCTGGTGACTTTGTCCTTTAGAGACGACTTTGCTTGAAATCGACGGGTCGAGAGCTGGACCTTGAGGTCCTACATATTAGGCCGCTGTGACCTTCCATAGTGAGCAAAGCATGGAGGAATTCCAAACAAAAATCCCAGTCACACCTGCAACACCAACCCATGCAATGGATGAATGCTGAGGAATGCCCGAACAGCACTGAGCACAAATTCTGTTGGAAGTGGATCTGATGAAAATGCAAGAGTGAGGCATTGGGAAAAAGAACCAAACAACGGTTACAACGGAGATATCTCAACTGATCCAAGAGGACCAAACTGACGAAACCAGATTGCATGCGGGGTTCGACCAGTTAGGACCGGGACAGTACATGATGACCCGGCCACTCACAAAACAAGCCAGCGATGGTGTTTTGGAGAACTCTGAGCACACACAAACACACACTCTCTGCAATTCCACACTACCGAAGAATTCAGTCCCTGTGGCCACATGGATGGTGTCTCCTCTCCCTCCCTCTCTCTCTCGCTCTCTCTCTCTCTCCCTCTCTCTGTTTCTGCTCTCCAATGACCGCCGCAGCATGTCGTGGCTTCCGCACGTCGCACCCTCCGTGGCCCGTTTTCCCGTGGCCCTGCGCCCAGTGGCGCGGCGACGCACTCAGCACGCTGGCCGCGCCGGGGGGCACCGGGCCAGCCTTCACGGGTGACTCGGGAACTTTCCTCGGTCGAGACGGAAGTCGAAGGATTCGGACACATCTGGATTGAGAGGATCGGCACAGACCCCAGTCGGTCGGTGGTTGATATGGACCCCGATCTGTCTAGGACATCTTGGGGTCTGTGCAATCTCTGAAACCACTGTAATCCATTTGCTGGCGATTTGTCCCGGCTACAAAGGGAGGGGATTTCAAAAACCATCATCTATGTAGGGGACCTGCACTTTTGCTTTTGAAATAAGAGGCGCCTGAATGAAATGTCATGTGAAACATAGGCCCCGCGTTAAACAGGTGGCTTTTCCACTTCCTTGATTATTTCAAGGGAGTGTGCTGCTGATGGAAGATGATGGAAGAACTCCTGCAATATGCCCATGATGCCCAAAACGACACTAGGCCAAAACTGGAGGGTCTTCTTTCTCTCACCCGTTGCAGGATGAATATCTTGTGCCAACAGCGGCGCTCCAGCTTTGTCTGTATTGAAGGCTGCTTACGAAAAAGGGCATTGGGGTGTCAGTGCGTACTGTTAAGTTGCTTGGGGTTTGCGTTTTTAAATGTAACAAGTGCTTTCGGCATGGGCTGCTATCGCTAGACTCAATGAAGTGTTCGTGGAATCTGGCGGGGAAGTTCAAAACACTTCTTGTAAAATTGTACAGCTTCTCCTGAATATTGGAGCACGCCTCAAGAGTTAAGACTGGCGCCTTCCGAGGAGCCTTCCAAATGAACACAACCTAAGACCTAAGGATCCTATCGCTGGTATATGTTCCTCCAGTCACCACTAGCCGGTCTTAGTCTTTGTCTCTGCCCGCAACCTGTATTCGGCTGATGGTTTGTCTTCAGATCAGGTTTGGCCAACTTTGGCCAAGTTTGGCCAGGTTTGGCCAAGTTTGGCCAGGTTTGGCCAGGTTTGGCCAAGGTTGGCCAAGGTTGGCCAGGCTCGGCCAAGTTTGACAAGGTCTGGCAAAGTTCGGCCGGGTTTGGCCGGGTTTGGCAAAGTTTGGCC